AAACTGCGTAAATGAAACGGTCGGGCCGCAGGCCCGAGCGCCGCCGCCGGCAGGCCAAGCAGGCCCGGCCCCTGCCGAACGGAGTTGCCGGCGCAGCGAAGCGAAGCCGGCAACTCCGTTTGGCGGAAGGGCGGGCCTGCTTGTTATGATACAAAACGACCCTGAAAATCCCAGGTCGCTAGCTCAATTCGTTCTCGAGTTATCGTGCGTACAGACAAACAAACAAACACACACACACACAAACAGACGCGAAACTTTTTGATCATCACTGGAGTAATAGGCTTCGCTATCGCTCAGCCAATTAATATAAAAAGTGCTCCTAAAAGTACCTGGATGGGCGGTACAATAAATTCTGTATCTCTCACATTAGGGAGGAACCTTTCGGGCGTAAAAAGCTTTTTCAGGTGAGCTGGAGACTGCAACATATGCTTTGCGTTAGTCGAGATTTTCCAAAGTACGCATTTCAAAGTACTATTAAATTTAATTTACTTACTTGAAATTCTGCTTCGTTGGTCCATGACATCCCTCAAAGGGGCAGGAACAGACGGAGATGCTCGCTGGCAGCTTGCGAGGAGTGTCAGCCCTCTAACTTGTTTCATCCATATAGACTATTCCGGCGGGAGCGCGGAGAAGACTCCGCGGAAGAACAAAAAGGGCACGTGATTCGCCGAGCGGCGTCCCCCACCATCTTCCCGTGGTGGAGGGGGACGCCGCTCGGCCAATAGCGATCCCTTCGGTTCTTACGTGGAGTCTTCTCCGCTCTCCCGCCGGAATAGTCTATTCTGCACAGCGCAGGATCAGCAGGAAGTTTGTGCATTTTACATGAATTTTTTTCTTTTCCTTGGCCATGTAGAGAAAGGGGATTGGAGCACTACCTAACCATGAGAAGTTAGCTAAAACAAACAAAAACTTTCTTTGTAAAAACGGTTTAATGGCGACTATTCTTCAAGAAAACTACACTTTTATTTGCCGCTACGCACCTGAAAACCTTGTAACAAGTGACGAAATGAGTTAAAATGTAATCTTCAGTTGGCTAGAGGCCAATGCACCGGCTCTTGCACGTATCTGAAGCACGCCAACTCCGTCCGAACTACTATTTTCCTATATTAATCACTTAAATATATCTCCTACACTGGTGTAAATTCCATCTGGATTTCCTGATCGCAGTGCCCTGATTCCTCATCGTATCCAAGGTTTCTGATGGTTTTCTCGGTTCCTGATGGTTAGTTTCTGATCGTTCCTCCAAAACCTAATGGTATTATCTCAATTTTTTCATGGTATTTTTTCCCTGATCGTAAAATTTCTGATGGTGTGTAAACCATCAGGATAATTTCTATATTCTGATGGTATTTTTTTGATCGTAGAAACATCTTTGATGGTTAGTTGACATTTTCTGATAGTTCCTTTTAGTACCATCAGAAAACGATGTTTTCCTGATCGCCTCGATCAAGCAAATAATGGACCTGACGAAACTATGTGTCGCACGGTAAAACGGCTTTGTGTGGTGTAAGAGGATCACATACTTTATCGTTTGCTCACATAATAACAAAATCACCTTTATCACCCTGTGATTTCTAGGAGAATGGCTAAAGGTAGGTCAATTTTGACACCACCATTGTGCTCAGCGCTGAAAGTTTACACGGGTGATGTAGAATCTTGGCCCTTGGGCGGCCCGCTGCTGACTTCACCATCACCACCAAAGATGCTACCATCAAGGACATTTACCAGTAGTATACTAACCATCAGAACGCAATTACCATCAGAATTTTACCATCAGAGCCCAACTTTACCATCAGAACAATACCATCAGGCCAAAAACTATCAGGAACGTCCCATTTTCTATCAGGAATTAGACAAATAACTGATCGTACCTTTTTTGATGGTATTTTTCCTCATGGTAAATTTCCTGATGGGATTTACACCAGTG